GGGGGGGGATTTCTGGAAATTGGGGGCTTCTCAAAACAAATACCCATTCTAATGATGCTACTTTAAAATTCCAAATCAATAAGCCCTCCTACCCAACCTTCAAATTTTCTAATCATCTTTTTAATGTCTTTCCCACTGCCCCTACCCCTAATCTCTCAACTTAATGCCAATCTTAATGAGCAGATAACCAAATACTAGCTCATATTTGAGGAAATCTCTTACATTATTGAGACTAAAACAAATGGGTGAAAGAAAATTAAAGAGCAAATAAGATTATACAGAGGGAAGAAACATCCAGAGAAAAGATACTACCATCAATGAAATGGAACAGGATGGTTTAAAAAAAAAAAAAATCAGGAATAAAAAGCAAATGAACTTTTAGAAACTAAATACAATAGAGATTTAAAATCTAAGACTGGAAAAACAAGGTTTCTTTAGTTCTGTCCAGAAAGAACAAAGAAACTAAGATGAAAAATAAAATGAGGTGATTAGAAGACCTATCAAACATATGACATCTACCAGAATGTGCAGAAGGAGAAAACAGAAACAAGCCCCCCAAAAGGTCAAGAATATTCCTTAGAACTAAAAGCTACTGAACTGCTAGATTGAAAGGGTCCACCACTGACTGTCTAACACAAAGAGATAGAATAAGCAAAACAATGGGAAATTTTTCAAAACTCCAAAGCCATAATAGCTTCCAGAAATATTATTTCAAAAATATCACATGCAAATAATCAAGAATTAACTTTTAACTTCAACACAACAACACTGCAAGCAAGGTAACAATAACAATGGAGTAGCACCTTCAAAATTCTGATGAAAAATAATTCCTACCTTAAAATTCTAACTATCAAGCATAAAGTAGAAGTCATTTTCAATCATATCATGTATTAAAATAATCTACTTCCCTTGCACTCTTCCAAGAAAGTACTAAAGAACTATAAGAAAAGAAAAGAAAAAGTGTAGAATATAGCAAACTCAAAGAGAAAGAAATGGAAACACCAGGAAGATAGTATGACAACCTTACAACCAGGGTGAAGAAATCCAGATGAGAGCAGTGTCTTTGAGACACAATCACTTTGAGACAATATCATTAAAAAGCCTGCTGCCTCTATTTTTTTTTATGCTAAAGACAGTACGTAGACATGGGAATACTTGCTCAAATTCTCCAGTGTACTTGCATGTTGTTGGCCCTGAAGTAAAATTATCTGCCCTTCTACCACTATGCACTAATGCCTAAAAACAGCAACAAATAACCCCATCATTTTCCTCACCCCCAAGTGTTCTTTTTAACCTATATGAACTGGCAAGCTACTATTAAATCAAAGGCAACAGATGTTGGGCAGCTCATCCTTTTCCATTCTCCCTGATTATATTTCTGCAAGACATCCATCCACTCACACTAGAAAACTACCACACAACTTAAAACTGTTTCCCAAGATACGTACTTCAAAGTGCATAGCACCTTACCCTATAGTTTTTCCCAAAATGGAAACCAGAAAAGCTTCAGAAAAGCTTAAGCCAGACTATGACCCAAATAGTCTCTTGTTTTTACTGTCCTATCTTGGAGCCTTTAACTAACAGTAGTTAATACTGTTTTACTTAACTAAGTTTGGCTTGCTATTCAGCTCTTCAAAATTAAATATTGATTAATAATTTATCAGTAGTAAAACTCTAAAAAGAAAAGCAAAGAAATAAATTAGACAAAAGCCAGATAGTGTTTACATACCTAAAGAGGAAAGGTGGGAAATGCAAGTTAGAAAGGGCAAAAGGGGCTTCTAATAGCAATGTTCTAAAATTAACTTGTGCTTATGTCTTTTTGTTTAAATTCTATATATACATTCTATATACATCTTGTACCTATAGTGTATCTTCCTTTTATATACATCTTGTAAACACTGTAATATGCCCATTATAATAAAAGTAGAAAAATCTCTGGGAAATACACATATGGTAAAAACTCTGCAAGTACTTATGCCCTATTATAGTTCTCAGCACTTTCCTAAGATTACACACTGACAAATGATTTACCATGAAAGTGATTATCCATACTGTGTTTTTTCATTGATGTGCTGTACCCAACTTTCATAATAGCAAGTATCAAGCATCAGTCATTACCATACATTTTCATAATATATATAATGTATACAGAAGTTAACTACAATACAATACAAAGTGATGCCAAATCTCTCAAAAAGTATCAACTATTTGCCACTTACTTGTCAATGTCTGCCATGTTGTAGGAACTTCAAATACCTATGGAGAGAAACATCAGTGTTAAAATATTTTTTCAGGAGAATATTGCTTAAAACAAACATGTTAGAGTAGGCTTTTAGAATCTGATATAAAAATTATTATATTAACATCATCAGTAAAGAATTCCTATTTGCTGTAAAAGGAATAGTGTTACAAAGTCTTTTGTTCAAATTCTTTTAATCATAAATGTTAAATTTTTGCTGAACTTTTAGGCTATTCAGGACATCTTTGAACAAATCCACTTCACTTTTAACAGTATTTTTTTTTTATCAAATTCAAATTAAAAAAATATTTGCTACCTATTGAACTTATGCTCCTGGAGGTACTAAAAAAATAAAGGTTTAGTAATCTCTGCATCACACATCAGCCCTTTAAAACGATTACACATTAATTGTAAAGATCTAGGTTCCAACCTTTTATGTCAGACAAACCTTCTGTATCTCATCTCACATGACTGATGTACAACCATTCCCACCATCCCCTGCAACAACCTCCCCTGGTAATGCTGATACACTGTTAATTAACACTCTGATTACCAAATCTAAGTAAGTTTACTGGAAAGATTGATTAAATGACTTAAATTCCTAAAGCTTAGAGAATACTTCTGAATACTTAGAGAATACTTAAGAGAATACTTCTGAGAGGGAAGAAAACCTTAAGGTAAATGTGTTATACTTAAGTGAAAAATGGCTGAATGTTAAGTCATCCAGATCACTGAAAAAAAAAACCTAAACCAAGTTTAGACAGAATTCCGCATTAAAAAATCAAGTTTTCATCTTTCAGCCTTAGGATTAATTCCACAAAATCTTATAAGATGAACTACTCTCATAACAGCATGCTTAAATATTACTTAAGAGTATTTAAGGTTCTGATTTTAAGTCAAGTGGTAATATTTGAGGATCTAGTATCTGTCCTTTAATTAGTAAAGAAAATATTTCTTCCTAATATATATTTAACATACCTTCCTTTTGTTTAAAAATGTTTCCTTAAATATTTCCTAGTAGTATGACAAATTTCTCCAGTGATACTGGGCAATTAGCATATCTCTACAAAATGTTTAGCAAACTACTGATGAAACTGAATTCAAAAATTAAGAAAAATATTGAATCTTCAAAGAAATGTATTTGGGATTCTAAGTGTCTATCAAATCATTGAGAATTTTCTTTCAACACAGGGAAAAATTTAATAAATATTCTTTCTTAAATCTGAGTTATGTTCTCATAAACTAGTACTTTTCTGGACAGTTATTCCTGGTTAAAGGAATATCAAAAGCAAAGTTTAAATATATCCATCTCCAGCCTTATTTACTTTTAAGAATGTTCCATAAAGAACTACTGAGCGGGCTGGGGATGTGGCTCAAGTGGTAGCAAGCTCGCCTGGCATGTGTGCGGACCGGGTTCGATCCTCAGCACCACATACAAAGATGCTATGCCCACCGAAAACTAAAAAAAATATTATAATTTTCTCTTAAAAAAAAAAAAAAAGAACTACTGAGCATCTAAGGCCTTGTTTTTCATATTCACCTTCAAGATCCCTCCAAAGCCCCAGTGAACAAATCCTATACATCTTGAACAACTGGTTAAATAATTCTTTGTTGTACAAACTCCTATATAGTTCTATTTCTTTCCATCCCAAGATGTCTCAAGTATATAATTACACATTAGTGTAAGCTAAGGTCTCTCCCAACTTTTCAGATGAGACTCATTACAGAAATTTATATGCTTTTACCAATCACTATTCTTCAGAGTAATATACACAACTTATATGTTATAAATTTATTAGCATGGAATGCACATAAAGAAATGCTTTATAGTGAAAATGGAAGCAATTCTCAAGAGCTGATATGGAAATGTAAGGTATAAGATATATGGCAAAATCCCATTAGGACATGAATAAAATATCATACTTTTATAATATAAACAAAACCTTTGCATACATTTTATTGGTGCTGAGGAATTGAATCCAGATCACATGCTAAACACATAACTATGATTGAACCACACCACCAGCCCCTTAAATAAAACCTTTTTTCTATATCAGAAACCTGAAAGTAGTTACTATAAAACATGAGAAATGAGAATTTTTTAAAATTTTTTTCTTTTTAGTTATATGACAATAAAGTATAATTTGACTATAAAAACATAGAATACATTTTGTTCTAATTAGGATCCCAGTCTTGTCGTAGTACATGATATAGAGATTTACCATGGTGAGAACTTCCATTTTGCATTACTTGGTTTTCCAGTTTAAAGAAGTTTACTTAAATCAGTAATATTTTTCAATTTCCTGGGTTGGAAACATTAACATATTGTCTAATAAACCTAGCAATTAGAATATGGAAAAATATATGGGGAAAAAACTCAGAATTTCAGATTTAAATTTTTAGGCCATTTTAACATGTTCACAGAACTACCTCCAATGTCCAGTTTTCAGCACTATCTCTAGATTCTGAACTTTTGAAATAGAACTTTTTAATGAAGACCCAAACTGTCCATTCAGGAAAATTAGATTTTTTGCTTGTGTACATTCATAAAACTGGGCCTAATTTCAGTTAAATCATTATGGTTTACACTACCTTTGAAGCAATCAACAGGGAAACAACTTCTGGCTTCATTTCATCATATATAAAAAAGTTAAAAAAAAATTCCCTCATTGGATTGAATTTATTTCAAGGAGTATACTCCACTCATATGTACAGCTTTATATTTTTATCAGCATTTAAAAATGTTTTCATCCTATTACAAAAAAAAAAAAAAATTCAAGGAACAAATCCATGTTAAAACTTTAACCAGAGTTTGATACCTGGTAAGTACTCTAAAGAACACATGCTATTTTCATCCAATCCATTTTTAATTATACCATTGAACAGTTTTCCAAAATAATAAGCTGGGATGATAATTTAAAAAATAGATTATTTTAGTCTTGAAAAATATACCATGGTAACTTTAAGATACTAATATTAGGAGAAAATGGGAAAGGAGCATACAGAAACTCTCTGATCTATGTTTACAAATTTCTTGTAAACCTAAAATTAAAAGTTAAAAGAAGAAAAAAACCCAAAAGGTCCAATGGAGTGCCCCCCCCTCCAAAATCTTCATTTTTAACCCCTACCCTTCGCAGCTTCTGAAACAGGTGGCTCAGATAATCAGATTACACTGAAAAATACAGGTTTATATTAATACCTACATTGCTTTTTTTAATCTGGTTAACATTATATCAAACAATGTTGGACATAAAACTGCACTCCTAAATCTGTGAAAAACTTTTCATTCCTGATAATGACAAGCTATATTATGCAGATTAATACTGCCAATAAAAAATAATTAAAAGCAAAGAACAAATTTATTAAAATCTTAATAGCACTGAAACATTAATAATATAATACAGAATTACTACTGGTCAAAATATGAAGGCAAAATAGGAAAATACTTTTGCCCTGAGGTCAACTGCCATTATCAGCAAATGTGAACTCTGGTTTTAATTCGAAATCAAAATTTTGAGCCTATCCAATGAGGAATCTTTATAATAACTTTCTGAAAATAAGCAGCAACCCCAAAGTGCTATGTCTTCAGAGATTATAAGCCAACTCTCTTAAACAAATGGCCCAAATTCATTTCATCTGTGTTGCTGCTCCAAACTCCAAGATAGCGTCAAGTATCCTGGCAGTATACTCACAGGCACTTGCTTATCAAATGTAAGCGAAAAGCAACTGCATTCTAGATCTCTAATAATTCATACAAGTATTTTCCAAAGGCAACCAGAACAACCTAAAGGAATACAACAGAAATCAGCCCTACAAAGACTTAAGTATTATTGTCAATTAGACTATAAACAAACTGTAGACAAAGGCCAAAAAACAACCAGTCTTACTAAGTCTAAAAATATAGTATCGGGAACTGTAGGTATAGTTCCAGAATCAAGTGCTTGCCTGGCATGTGCAAGACTATGGGTTCACTGGAAAGGAAGAAAGAGGAAAGGAAGAAAAAACAGTATCTGCAAGAATAGACATGTATTAAGTTAACAGCAGATTTGGAAAAGAACTTAATATATCAAATTAAAAGGGTCGCCTTTAGTAGATTAAACAAAATTGAGAATTAAGCGAGCTAAAGAAAGCAAAGAAGAACTATTCTAAAACAGAGCAAGAGACTTAAGAATGGAAGTACTGAAATGAAAAGACATTTTAGGATACAACAAAGTCTAAAAAAGATTTCATGCCTGTAATAACAGAGGCTTGAAAGGCTGAAGCAGGAAGATCACCAAGTTTATCATATCAACAGCTTAGCAAGGCCCTAAGCAACTTGGTGAGATCCTGTCCCAAATAATAAAAAGGGCTGAGGATGTGGCTCAGTGGTTAATTAAGTACATTGAGTTCAATCTCTCATAGGGAAGAAAAAAACAAAAAACAAAAAACTTCAAGTTCAAGGAGGAAAAGATAGGATAGGATACAATACATGAACAAATTAATAGCTAAGCACTTTCCAGAACTGATGAAACAGACACTCACAGATTCAGGGAGTTTTATCAATTCTACTCAAGATAAATAAAAAAGAAAACCATACTTAGATAAATAAGTAAAAAAGCAAGATCCCAAAGACAAAGAAGTCACCTAAGAAAGTACACAAAAGATTAATTTCAAAGGCATAGCTGACAGCTGGCTTCTCTTCAATATCAGATACCAAAAGATAATAGAATTCACAACTTTCTGAAAATAACTGATGATCTTAGAATACTATATGCAAACAAAGTAACCTGTAAGAATGAAAACAAAGCAAATACTTCACTTAACAACACCTCCCTCCAAGCACTATCACTGAAATATTCTGTAGTATAATCTTCATATAGAAGGCAAGTGATTCCAGATGGATACTTGAAAATACATTAAGGAAAAAAGATTATCTGTGTATATCTACATGAAGATTGTGTCTGTTTTAGAGATGAGGACCCATTAGGTTCCCAGGCTCAAAACTCTTGGGCTCAAGCAATCTTCCTGACTCAGCCTCCCTAGCACTATAACTACAGGCACACACCACCATGTCCAGCTAAATAAGGATTTTGAAAGAAATAAAATTACCATTGTGAGTGTTAAAACATTAAAATTATCACACTATTTGAAGTCAGTGATGTGAATAAGCACTCCAATGTTTGGTTAGTATGCAAATAGTAATTTCCAGAATGACTACCAAAAGATTAGAAAACAGCATATATAACTTCCAAAATAAAGTAATGAAAACACACACTTTTAAAATAAACCTGAAAAGTTGGGCCCAGTACTGCACATCAGTAATCCCAGCAACTCCACAGGCTGAGGCAGGAGGATTCCAAATTCTAGGCCAGCCTAATCAAGGTAGGAAGACCCTGTCTCAAAATAAAAAGGGCTGGGGTAGAGGTTAGTGGTAAAATGTCCCTGGGTTCAATTTTCAGTACCAAAAAATAAAGAAAAGTAAAATATTCCTGTAAACTTCAGAGTAATTACATTAAATGTAAAAGTAAATGTTCCTATCAAAGATTCTAAGGCCATGCATGGGGTCACACCTTGATCCCAGTGACTTAGGACACTGAGGTGGGAGAATCGCCCAGATGGACTCCATTCTTGGTGACTTAGCAAGACCCTCTCACAATTTTTTTAAAAAGGAGGCTGGGGATGTAGCTTGGTAGTAGAGCACCACTGGGTTCAATCCCCAGTACACAAAAGAAAAAAAATTTCCTAAGACTGTCTTCAAGAAAATTCAGTGTCATTCTATGGATAAGAAATTCATCATCTAGTTTCAAAACTCAGTATGAACCTAATATATTAACATCAGAAAAAAACAAACTTCAAGAGTATTACTAAATATAAAAAGGCCACTTTTCCCAAAATGGTTCAATTTATAATCCAATATATAATGTACACAAGATCTTAATGGAAAGGCATGGTGATTCCAAACAGTATTCCTGAAAGTAAATCTTAATCTTGAAAATTCTAATACGAAGAAAATCTTTCATTAGAAGACAGGCCATTGACTAAATCAGGCCACAAAATCTGATCATTTTGTGGTCTTTTTAATAACCAGATGTCCAGACACCTACTTTCAACTTCTTACCATTCTGGTAATCCTTATTCTGAGTAAATTGCCCATACTATCAATGAATACGAAGAAAAGCCAACATTTATGAAAACACATTTGGCCACTCTGTTAGGAATTATAGGCTTTCCTCCTACTTTGGAAATAAAATATTAAGTGCCTTGCTTAGCAACACAATCCTGAAGTAGTTAGGTTTTAAAACCTGACTTTGAAAACAAAAGCCCATTCCACTATTCTAAAAACCTAGGTACTTTCCAATCAGCCTGTTACATAGATTATTCACTAAACTAAATCATTATTCCTTTACAAAAAATGACTACTTCATGATGAAACAGCCAATCACTAAAAAACAAAAATGGTTTAAAGCCAAAGAAGGAAACAATAATACCCCAGGATATAGTTTTCCCTTTACTTCAGACCTCATTCCAAATGAACTTTAAGTAAAAATTTTTAGATAGCACTGCATTTGGCTACAACACAACCCCTCAGCTTAAACAGCTTATTTTTTTACACTCAGTTTTTTCATTTCAGTGCTATCAATAGTCAACCGAGAACTTTGTATTAGACTCCCAAGCAAAATGAATTCCTATTTGAGAACACTGTTATCTTCTGTCCAAAAACATCTATAGAGTATCATCTAATCCAATAACAGGGAAACTTACCCTAGGACCCAGGACACTTGGTCAAAACTCATCCTACTTACAAAATTTATCCTCATTGTACTTCCAAAGTTACATGTACGTGCAGCATACATTACTTGCGTACATATGGCCCAACTACATGGAAGAACACCTCATAACTATACAATGCTGTAGCTTTTCCCTAGACCACTGTAGAATCCAAAATATAGCAGAACAGTTTAAGGGACATCCTTCAAAAACCACTACAAAAATCACCTCATTTTAAGTCATCATTACTCAGTTATGTAACCCTGGATAGTTTCTTTAACCATGACATACTGTTTCCTTGTTAAAATATTAATACTACCTACCTTTAAGAGCATCAAATGTGAAATACTCATAAAAGAATTTTAAAACAAGGCTTGAATAATCACCCTGTAACTGCTGTTTTATTATTTTTCCATTGTACTTTTGTATTCTTACTTTATTTTAAAACATGATTATCACAGGCCACGTTGGGGGAGAGGGTGGCTATCAACAGGCACAAACTTCTCAGCAAGCAAAGTATTCAAATAGGCAGCAATAAATGGCAGAATTGGTAACTCAAGGAAGGTACAGAAGCCACTTTCCATGACACCAGTAATGTGCTCTAATGCTGTTGATGCACTGAAAAACTTAACAAAGAGAGGTGTAAAGCAACTATTCCCACCTTCTAACTACCACTCTTATTCAGATGAAATGAGTTTAAATGGGACTTAAATATTTACTCAAAGTATTAGCCAAGACTACAAATGATTTCAGGTTTGATTAAACCTTAAGACTCCAAATAGATTGATCATTATTATTTCTATACTGGAGAAAATGAGGGGCTCATTCTTTAATCTTTTAATTATATTGAGAATTTACAACCAAGCAAAATACTAAAGTAACAAAATTTTGTTTTGACATCCTCAGACCTTTATAAATCAAGCATTCTGCTTCTTTTAGCCCCTTCTATAGAAAGACCACTTGTTTTGAAATATTTTAAGAATTTATAATCAAATTAATCACCTGGGGCCAATATGGGCAAATTGAATAATAAAATAAGCTGTGGCATTTAGATCACATTACTTCTGGCTAGGGAGTGTACCAAAAAAACCAAAAAAACAAAAAAAAAAATCTTGTGTAAGGACAGTCATTTGCCTCATTTAGTATTAACTTAGTAATTCGTTCAATTAATGGGTATAATATAAAAAGCAGATATTTCACAATAGATAAAATTTACAAAGATTTGCACACAAGTATGGTGAAGTTTCTCATTTCATTACTTTAACCAACAACTGGCTTGAAAAGAACATTTTAAAATCACAAAAGATTAAGTCTTCTAAGTACACCTGCTTATGTTAGCTCCAGTCTTAAAAGTACAACTGCATGGTTTAGATTTAGAACATGTATTTCCACTTTAGCAACTTCAAACAAGCTTGAGACACTAAAATCCCTAAAGACCACTGAAAACCTCATTTCCTCCAGTTTTAAATAAATTACATATATGTGTATGATTTTTCTCTTATCTAAAGGTAGAACTATTACTTCTAAGATAAGGAGCATTAATCTAAACTGACAAGAAAACAGGACATGGGCTGGGGGTGTAACTCAGGGGTGGAACTCTTGCCTACCATGCACAAAACCCTGGGTTCAATCCCCAGCATGCAAAAAAAAAAAAAAAGAGGACACAGACACCATTTTCAAAAGATGTTTTGATGGTATTTTCAAAAATAGCAAATTTTCTTTTACACCTCTCCTGAAAATTTGCAACCGATTTAAATTCTGAGATTTTCAAAGTATAGTGTTTCTGGAAATCATCAGACCAGTAATAGTTTAAACCAGGGACTCCTTGAGGACAGCCTGTGCCTGCTTGAGTGATCCTTTGTAATAGCCCTCCCCCACAGGACCTCAGTGGCCGCCTCCTTTAACTGCCGAGAGATTTTTACTGAAATGGGGCACATTGACAAGGTAGCAGGTACTCACTTGGGTTGGTCAGTTTATATTAACCCGCCACCCCATTCACCTTCAAAATAGCTAGTGAAGTATCCTATTCTGGGAACCTCATTAAAGGAAATAATGTCGGAAAGCCTGTGAGAATCTAAACTATAACAAGCCAAACCCTTTATCGTCTTAGAAACGTTTAAAGGTTTAGATAGGTGAGGATCAATCCTTCCCCTTCCCCACTCCTCAAAAACAAAGGTAGACACCCACCTTCCCATCTTAAGTTCTAACTGTATCTGGGACACACAATACTATCTTTTGTTAATAACAGCTAACATAAGCGCTTTACACGCTTTAATTCTTTAAAATCCTGGCAGTGTATCAGCTAACATTCGAAATTTCCTCTGTACCAATAAAAAGATTTAAGACCAAAGAGAGGCAGTTAAGAGTTGGAAACCCAGGGGACGGGGACTTATGAGCTCATCATCCCTTTTCATACCCTACCAACTCTACAACTTTTTAAGAATAGCACCCCCACACACACACTCCCACCCGCTGCAAGGGTCTCCAATCTTGGCCAGGAGGCGGCCACGCAGCCCCCTCACCACGTGTCGAAGGAAGCCGCCGGGGGTTTCCCCGCCCCGCGCGGCCACCGCCCCCAGTGGGCGGAGAGCCCCGCAGCCTCCCCGCCCCCCTGCCTCGGGCCTGGTCCCTCAGCGGCCCCTCCCTCCCTCCCGTCGGAATTCGCAGCCTTCCCGGTTCTTTCCATCCCCCAGCGGCCTCCCTCGGGGTATTACTTTGGGGGGGAAAGACAGAGGCGTCGAGGTGGCGGGCTCCACACTGGCCCGGCCCGCATTCCCAGCGCCTCCCGCTCCTTGCCGCGCGGCAGCCGACTCCTCTAAAATACCCGGGCGTCGCCGCGGCCTCGCTCCCGTCCGCGCGCAGAAGCCGGTGGGGCCCCGAGAAACCTTAGGCACGGTAGGGCGCGCCGACCCCCCGCGTCTCCTCAGCGGCCCCTGAAAAAAGCACCGGTCGGTCCTGGGCCCCTCTCAGGCTGCCGCGTCCAGACTCCGCAGACCACTCCGGCCTCACCGGACGACCCGGAGGCCCAGGGCAGCCAGCAGCCACTGCTCTCGCTCCACCGTCCCTCCCCTCCGTGAAGGCCGCCCGACCAACTCCACGTTCCCCGTTCCCTTTCAGGCCCCCATCCGTTACCGGCAGCTAGTACGGGGAGCCAGGCGATCGAAGCTGCGCAGGCAGTGACTCAGGGAGGCAGCGGAGACGGGAGGAGCAGGAGGCGGCGCCGAGAGCAGATGGCGCTAAAAAAGACCCGAGAGCCCGCCGCTCGCGCTCATATACAATTAGCGTCAGCACGTAGGGCCCGCTCCGCCGCCCTCCCCCAGGCCTCGTCGTCTCCTGGCAACACGGGCGGGAGGCGGGCCCGGGCCTGGTTGCCTAGTAACAGAACCGTCCTTCTTCTGCGGAGGTCTCCAACCAGCGGGGTGGGCTCTTCCTCAGCGTCCAGCTTGGGCTCCTCGGGTTCCCGCCACGGTCTATCCGCCTCCCTCTATTGAGCACCCCGCCATCTCTTTTCTCTCCTGGCTTCGCTGAAAAAGAAACCGTAACCCCATTAGTAGTCGGGCAGGGCCCTGACCCTCACGTCTTACCCCTGGCCCACCTTGGGGGGCGAGGGGGTGTAGGCAATGAGGATGGTGGCCAGCAGCCCAACGCTGCGCTCGCGCTGCCCTTGACGTTGATCTCTTCTTGGTTCCCATGCCTGTCCTGGCCCAATTCCTTCAACTCCCAGGCCTCTGGAAACCATTTTCCTTCCTCACCTAAGAACTACTGTTCTTTCCTCCTGACTACGTTGGCGGCATCTTCTGCCGGTTTTACTTAGAGTGTGTCCCCGCCTTCTAGGGGTGCCCTTCGTCTATCTCTCTTACCTAATGAGCAGTCCCTTATTTCTGCTTATCATTTGATGGATGAAATTAGCATGTTTTCTGTGTTCTCAGCTTACTTTATAATGAGACCATTCAGTATGTCCGCTGTGTCATCTTTCTAAAAAAAGTAAACCCTATGTAAATCCTAACTTACGAAACCTCTTGGCTAATTTTCAGTTGACATTGGATTGTCTAATAGTAACTTTCAGTGGTTCTCAAAGTGTAGACTGAGTGTCCCCAGGTCCTTCAAAGAGGACAATCAGAACTATTTCTATGATAATACTAGGTCATTGGTAAACAGTATTCATAGGACATTGTTTACCATTTACACTCACACTCTCTCAAGCCTATGGCAGAGTTTTCCAGAGGCTCCCCGACATGTGACAAGGAAACATTGAAATAGAAGCAGACAGGAGAATCCAGTCATCTGTTGTAAAACCATATATGAAAGAGCTTTACAGAAATGTGAAACAACAATGCCACTCGTTTTGTTGTTGTATTTCATACAGAAGATTTTTCCTTGTTGCCATTGATTGCTTTATTATTGTTTTGAATTGAAAAACTTCAAATTTTCTAAATCTTAATTTCTAATATGATAAATATAATTATAATGCACATAAAAGTTCTTTGGAATTCTCAATTTTTAAGAGTGTAAAGGGAAAAGTTTGAGAACCGCTTCTCTAAATGTTGCTTCAAACTGCCTAGGATCTTCTATATGAATCCTCACATTTAGTGTTAGTAATTATGTGTTCCATTAAAGTACCCAGCTTTTTCTGGGTACCCCCCAATCTTAATGAGATTGGTTCTTTTCCCCGCTCTACAGAAGCCTTGGTTTACTTGTTTCTTTTGGTTTTTCATACATGATTCTCTTGTTTTTCTAGACTTCTTCCCTACTCAATATTGATATAAAGCTAACAAAGATTGTGATGGCATGGATAATGGCACTTCAGGAAGAACCCACTATACATGAACAAGGTAGACCCATGCTCAATAGTATATGGCACTGACTCATTTCAATAGGAGCCTCAAGAGTGTTACATTCTGTTGGGAGTGGTGGCACTTGCCTGTAATCCCAGTGGCTCAGGAGGCTGAGGCAGGAGGATGGAGAGTTCAAAGCCAGCCTCAGAAACAACGAATCACTAAGCAACCTAGTGAGATCCAGTCTCTAAATAAAATATAGAACAGGGCTGGGGATGTAGCTCAGTGGCCTAGTGCCCCTGTGTTCAATCCTGGTACTCCCCCCCCCACCCCTCAAAAAAAGTGTTATATTCTAATTAAAGCTATGCCCAATGCAAGATAATTAGCATATTAAAATGAACTAAACTTTCCATAACCTTTATAGTGATAGAATTTCTGAGATAAAATTGAGATGTTAGCCTGGAATGTTATCTCATTCCAGGAAGCCTCACCAATTTCATGGCTAATTAGCAACTTGTTAATAAAAAAAGGTTAGGGGCTTGGGGTGTAGCTCAGTATTAGAATGTGCACTTAGCATGTATAAAGTCCTGGGTTCAATGACCAGTACCAAAAGGTAAAAAATGAACATCTTTGAGATCATAATGAATTACAAAAACAAGTTATATGGTGTAATTGGAAGATGATTAGAGTGTACATTATTGGGAGAATTGATAGTAAAATGTGGTGGATGTACATCATATAGTATTAAGTATCAGAAAACTGAATGTAAAATGGTTAATACTACACAGATGAATTTTAAAATGAATTGCTCAAATTGGGGGAAAAAAAGCTTACTGGTACAAAATGCTGGAAAAGACGTAATACAATGGGAACTCTAATTCATTACAGGGGGAATGCAAAATAATCCAGTCACTTTAGAAGACAGTTTGGCAGTTTCTTATGAAGTTGAATATACATTCATCATGTGAACCAATAATTTTACTCCTAGCCAAGTGAGTTGAAAAGATGTATACACACACACACACACACACACACACACACACACTACGAAACAATAATAACAGGACATGAATGTTGATAGCAGTTTTATTCCTAACTGCCAAAATCAAAAATGAAAATGTCTTTCTACAGGTAAATTGATAAGCAGTACCATGGGATACTAATCAACAATTAAAAGGAATGAGATACTAATTCACTCAACAACATGGATGAATCTCAATTAAGTTTTGCTAAGTGAAAGAAGCCAGCCTATATATTATGATTTTGTTTATATAATACATAGAAAAGGCAAACCTCTAGGGATAGAAAACTTTCTATTGGCAGAGGTTGGGGGAGAGGTGAAGAACTGACTCCAGAAGGGTTGCAGAAGGGACTTTTAAAGTAATGAAATTGTTTCATATTCTATAGGTAGTAGAGAACATAACTTTATATGTTTGTCAAAATCTATTTGCTGTTTTGGAATTTTAAAAAAACCAACCAGATCTTGGAGAATTATAGGATGGAAATAGACTGACAAATTAAGTATATTACAAGGAAGTTGACTTTGGAAAATAAAGTTTGGATGTTCATTGGATAGAGGCAAAAAGAGCTATATGTAAACATCCTATTATAGTTGGTAAATATCTCATTAGGTAAGCATTAGAAAATATGAATTAACTTTATAGGTATACTAGGACATCTGTATTGGTTTGCTAGGGCTACTATAACAAAATACTAAACTGGGGACTTAAGCATAGATCTAGAGGCGAGAAATCTGAAATTGAGTTGTGAACAACTAGTTGGTCCCTTCAGGGGGCTATGAGGGAAGGATCTGTATCAGGCCTCCTTCTTTGGCTGGTAGATGCTCATCTTTTCCCTTTATATGTGTGTCTGTGTCAAAATTCCTCTTTTTGATAAGGATATCAGTAGGATTAGGGCCCACTATAATTATCTCATTTTAACTAGGTTATCTCTATAATAAAGACTCTATCTCCAAATGAAGTCAAATTATGAGGTACTGGGGATTAGGATTTCAATACATGAGTTTTAGGATGACATAATTCAACCCATAGTATTAGGGTCAAGCAAATAAGTAAACAATTGTAGATATCGGGAGCCAGGCCCTTCACTATCCTAGAAAATGTCACAAATATACAGGGGTACCCTGTGGTACTAGATTGAGTCAGAGATATTAGTACAAATTTATGTTTATAGACAGATGATTGTTGGAGTGATAGAGATATGTATCTATATATATCTTAATAAACCTATACCCATTTCCTAGTTCTGTCCACTAAGTCTAGAAGCAGTGGTACACTCATAACAAGAAGCATACTCAGCACATAAATCTTGTCTTCTAAATACCATTTGCCAGTTAAAGGAGGGAAAATACCAGGTGAGTCTGGAACATTTTATAGTGTTAGAAATAAAAAATTAGGGCGAGAGGAGAGAGAGGAGAGAGAGATGGAAGCTTGTCAAAAGGACACAGGAGCCATCTGAAAGAACTGGAGCAGTTTCATCAACAAAATAATAATAATGTTGATTATAACCCAAAGAAGTAAACAAATATTCATGAGTTCATAATGATATAAAAATCATTGCATAAATATTCTCTTACTATCTCTTTATCATAGATGAGGAAATTGAAGTTCACACGGCCTGTTAGTGGCAGAGCCAGACTGAATTACAAGGATCTTAGCATCAGAACCTCTGCATGCAAATACATCCTTTCCATTTAAATGGATAAGATGTAGTCCTAGGATTCAAGGAATTAATTTCAAGAGAAATGAGCATGTGATGTAAACAAGCATTATAACTCAGTGTAATTGCTTAAAATAAGGGTCAGGCCATCAGAGAAGACTGTGCAGAAGTGACACTGAGAACAAATATTGAAAGAGAAATAAGAACATATTTTGCGACAATAGATCAGGCATTCCTGGTCAGCACCCCCCCCCCACACACACACACACACAACAACTCCAGCCATTGGGAAGAAGATGGGATCTAGCTGTTCAAGGTCATGTGGAAAACACAGAACTGCACAAATAATGATGCCTGCCTTTACCTGGGCACGAATTTCACACAGACAAACTTTGGCCAAGTCATCATGAAAGGAGTTGGTATCAAGTGTCTATCAATCCATTTTGGGTCTATTCATCCTCATACTTTCAGGTGTCAAGACCTCACCTTTGTTAGAAGTATCACTATTTATTTAGCAGTTCTAAGGATTGAAACTAAGAGTAACCACTGAACTATCCCCAATCCTTTTTATCTTTTATTCTGAGAGTCTAAGTTGCCTAGGTTGGCCTTGAATTTTCTTTTTTTTTTTTTAAGAGAGAGTGAGAGGTGAGAGAGGAGAGAGAATTTTTTTTTTAATATTTATTTTTTAGTTCTTGGCGGACGCAACATCTTTGTTTGTATGTAGTGCTGAGGATCGAACCCGGGCCACGCGCATGCCAGGCGAGCGCGCTACCGCTTGAGCCACATCCCCAGCCCCATGGCCTTGAATTTATGATCCCCTTGCCTTAGCCTCCCAAGTAGCTGGGATTACAGGTGTGAGCCACCATGCCAGTCTTCATTTTTCTTTCAATAACTAGGTTTTTCACTTCTTAGTAATGAAAATTTCACACAATTAAAGATGTATTCTTAAAAACTTAAGAGTTAACCTGGATGAGCCAGGTTAACTCTTAAGTTTTTAAATCTTATGAAATCATCTCTTTTAGAAATATTTGGGGGAGGTATGTTTTTAAAAAATCCATAAGACAGTAACTAAAACAGTAGAAGTTGAAGCCACAAACACCATAGTTTACTATGTGCTGGGCACTGTTCTGTCACCTATACATTTTAGCTCTCACAATAACCCTGTGCAGTAGTTATTTTATAAAGTTACTTTATAAATAAAGTAGTGATATCTTTATTTATAGCTAATTAACTGAGGTACAGAAAGGCTTAGTAACTTACACAAAGTTGTAATCAGTTTTAGTAACTTGTGGATTCAGTAAAATCCAGTAATTTCAGTCTTAACAGAAAGGAATGATACTACTTGTTTTTGTTTTGATTCATTTCTTAATTCAACAATGGTCTAGTATGGCCTAGATAGGTGATCACAAACCCTAACATCTACAGGGCCAGACTGGAAACATACTGAGAATTCAACCAGGTGTGTACAATAGTGGGAATTGGTAAACATTGTGAACAACAGGATGTGAGGGATTGAACCTAGGGCCTTACCCATGTTAGGAAAGTGCTCTACTACATGGCACATCCCCAATCCCATAGGCCTCTTTTTAAGGGGGTAGCTACTCCTCAGATCCAATTGTAGTCACAGAGTCAATATTATCAGATTTTCCAAGTTTTAAAGAAAAGTTGGAAAAGCAGATTTTGATATGAATCTTCCAATTTGGAAGATAGAGTGCATAAAATGAGTTCAATTCTGGACATGTTGCATTTGCAGTTAGAAGCCAAGTCTCTAGCAATTAGAAACCGAATATGTGAATTAGGTAAATAATTTGGGAGTAAAGGAGAGATCTAGAAATCTTCAGCACGTAGTTGATGAAGCTGCCCATGGAGAAGATTTCAATTAAGAGACAAATATGAGGACCAGGAGCCCAGCATTTATATCATTAACAACACAGGAAGAGCCAGGAGGGAAGACCTGGAGTAAGAGGATAGTAAAGGACAGCAGTGTTTGAGATGCAAATGAGGAAGGGGAATGGGTCTTCCTTAGTTGAGAAGAAATAGTAGGAGTTAAAGAACAAATTTTTATGACTTTCTTGTATCTAAAATTCAGCTAACACATTTTACTGCTAATTACTTTGATGACTCGAAATTTAAAAGTATTTTACTACCATTTTTCCAACTTTAGTGACATCTTATTAGCATAACAATTATCATTCCATTTCTCTTAGGGCATTTTGAAATGTCCAAAATACCGAAATTTGTCAGAACCACCTATAACAAAAACTGATTTTTGTGAGAAAGTAATACCTATTTAGGTGTATAATTGCATAGAAAAATTTTTCACATCCACAGGTTAACAGTCGACTCACACATCAAACTTTATTTGTAACTTAGACACA